ACAACAACAACCCTGAACAATCCAACAGCACAGCACAGCACAGCACAAGCCCCAGAACGTGACTTCAAAATGACTTTATGGAGATGATAGAGGTCTTTGAAGAAGACATCAACAAATCCTTGTAGAAACTGAGAAAAACAGAAACAAAAAATGGATGAAGTAGAAAAAAAAATCCCTCAAAGAAAGTAAGTGGCCAAAAACAAAAAAATATTATAACCTACGGTTGATCATTGGTAGTTTTAAAAAATACACTTTTATTTATAATTTAATTTTTGAGACATTCAAAATAAATTCTTTCAAGCTGACCACACACACACACACGCATATATATATATATATATATATATATATATATATACTATTATTATCTACTAAATTTATTAAATAGATTTAAAACAAGCTTTGGAAATATCTTGTGACCTGCACATAGGTTTCTGAACCTTCTACCACTTATTGTTGCTGTGTAAAATCAAAATGTTTTTCTCTCTAACTCTCTCTCTCTCTCTCTCTCTCTGTGCGTGTGTGTGTGTGTGTGTGTTTGTCTCTCTATTCATTTTTTTGCAGCTAGTTTATGTGTTGTTGTTTTTTATTTTATTTTATTTTTCTTTCGACAGGGTCTCATGTAGGTCAGGTTAGCTTGTTACTGTCTATGCATCTAAAGATGTCTTTGAAGTAATGGTCTTCCTATCTCCACCTCTGGGTGCTGGGTTCATATGGGTGTGCCACCTTGCTAGGCTCAAACATTTCCACATAGCAGCAGTTTCTGGCACACCACTCTTGACCACGGAAATAACCTATACCTAGTTCTTAAGTAATTGTCTTAAATGAAATGTAAACAGTTCTCTTACTTTCTGCTCCTGTTTGTCCTGTCAGCTATTGCTGCCTGGTGTCCTCCAGACATAGATAGCATGGCTGATGCCTCCTTGAAATCAGAGATGATTTGTTTCCACAAGGGAAACCCCCAAGATATTGATTCTCTTCTGGCGCTGATGCAGAGCTTATGAGACAGCATGGGAGTGCACAAGGAGATTGTAAGTCACTAAGAAGGGAATAATCAACCTTCCACTCACCCCAAAGCATGTATAAGTAGTTAATTTATTCTTCTAGGGAGAGAGACTTCTGTTAAGTGGTTTGGTTATCCAGAACTTGCCCAGACTACTGTAAGTAAACTCGCACCTGTGCTCCACTATGTAACTCCAATTAAGCCATTTGATTCATTGAACTAGAGTTGAGTTGGATTACATAGGGCATAGCCATGTTCTCCAATAGTGAACACGCCCTGCTTGCATCTGCCAGAGATATCTGAGCAGCTTCTGCTATGTGCTTTAGAATGCAAACATCATAAGTTCTCCACAAGGGTGTTAGTGTCCAGGGTGTAATTGTCTGTAACACTTCTATTTCTTCGGAGACCCTGCTGCAGCCAAGGACTGATTATAAAGTGTTCCAAGCTGCCTGCTACCATGTGAGAAAGACAAGACAGGCCCAAGCAGTAGCTAATTTGCTGACGTGCTCAAGCACGAGCACCTGAGCTACATTCTCATAACCACATCGAAATTACAGTCACGCTTGCTCTCATTTGTAATCTCCGCAGTGATGGGGGAGGTATGTTCCTAGGACTTGCTGACCAGTGCTATTCTAGCCTAATTTGTGACCTTGAGGCAAATAAGAAACTGTCTTAAAGGAGATGATCAGAGTTCCTGAAGATGTGCCTGCATTTACACATGTGTACACACAAGATGTATATATAGACACACTTAAATATATATATAGATAAAGGGCAATTCTTAACACATTGACTTAGTCCTATAACGTCTTATCAGGGAGTTTACAACAAAGACTTAAGGGAATCTCAGCACACAACAAGTAATTCTAGTAGGTTCTAACCAATCATAACAGTATTTAGCAACGCTAAACAGTGTAAACTGCCCCAATGCCCCAGGTAGATGCAGGTCCCTGTGATAGGTCTGCTTAGTGTTAGGCAGACTCTGTTTACTCTGCAATATCCTACAACTAGAGACAGTGGGATTGTGCCAGGCTCTAGCATCTTTCTTCATGAATATTTAGGCACATTGAACTTCTACATGATCAAATTTGCTTTTTATGTCAAGTGCCAGCTATCCAATGTAGAATTCTAGGCCAAGAGGTGTTCACTGGCATTTCTCACCAGGCTCCTCTCCCTGCAAATCTGTCTGGCACAGCTGAGCATGTCCCTTCCCTTGGAAGATACCTCACCAAGGCCAAAGTAATCAGCAGGCCGGTATCTTAGAATCCCAAATGTACACCCCCACATTCCCACGGCTTGTGCCCTTCTTGCAAGCACACACTGCTCATTGCAAGCTCCAAATGTTGTCAATAGTTGTATCTGAAGAGGCTCAACCCACAGTAAATGGCATTGAGTAGGCAGGCAGGACAGGATGTCTGTGACTGACTAGATACATTGTAATCTGGAGCAGGCCAGAAGAGAACACTTCCAGGTCATGGGCCACTGCTAATTTTCCCACTTCTAAAGGCTTGGGCTTAGACTGTACCAGGCAATGAGCACCATTCTAGGTATAGAAGCTCAAGACATCACCCACTTGCCTCATCTGCTAGTTGGTGAGGTTGTACAAGAAAGAAATGGTCAGTATATGGATGGGATAAGTGCTCTAATTCTGTTTCTTTGTAGAGGACAGTGGACAGACACTTGGCAGCTCAGTCTGCAGACCTTCTCTGTGCTTTCCCATTCACCCTGGACTCTATTTCCCTGCTCATTCCCTTTTTGTTGCCTCCTTCCAGGAGCAAGTGTGTGGATAATCCTGCAGGATGTGGAAGGAAGTCAGGAGAAAGAGGCTGGACAGAATGGCCCTGTGTTGGGGGCCACAGCAGGAGGAGAAGGTGCAAAAGAAGAATTAAGAGACAAAGCTCCTGCTGGCAGTGCAGCCCTTGTGGATGGCAGGAATAATGATGGAGGGACCAGCAGCAATAGCCAGAATAAGGGCCAACAAGAGGAGCTGATCCCTGGGAACACGAAAGGGCATCAGGCTTTACCATATCCACCAGGCCAGCAGTACCGCCTCCGCCACAGGTTCACTCAGTTCCAGCTGCAGTAGCTGGAGCGCACTTTTGAACACAATCACTACCCTAGTGCTGAGGCAAAGTAAGAAGATTGTCTAGCTTGTGCTGGGAGCACTACGTGCTCCAAGGAGGCCTCTGGATCTTTCCCAAGCCTTCCTCTAACCTCTCTTAAAATAAAATCTACCTGCACACTCGAGTCCCCCAGTCTTTACTTGGGTTCTGGGTGAGGAGGCGGGCAGGGGGAGGGGGAAACAAACAGGAATGAAGATGGTTTTGTGAAGTATTTAAATGACTCAAAGTAAGTTTAGAACAGGTGAAAAGTCTGGGGGGTGGCTGAGAAAATACAGGTTGGTGTTTGTTTAATTTCCCAGAACTGTAGTGTCTGCATTAAGTTATAGTTTATAAGTGCCTTGAACATTTTTCTTAAACCAGTGATTTTATTGTTACTGTTGAAGATTTTGCAATGTTCAGGAGGGAGTAGTCTCCTTAAAATTTCTACACCAGGAAAAAATGTGCCCCTAGAAGCAAGAGAAAGTGTTGGATACGGTGACTTGCAGCCCAAGAAACACAGCTGAGGCAAAGGGGCTCACTGCAAGGTCCAGGCCATTGTGGGCTATAGCCTGAAATACTGAAATGCGATCTCACTGCAAGGTCCAGGCCATTGTGGGCTATAGCCTGAAATACTGAAATGTGATCTCACTGCAAGGTCCAGGCCATTGTGGGCTATAGCCTGAAATACTGAAATGCGATCTCACTGCAAGGTCCAGGCCATTGTGGGCTATAGCCTGAAATACTGAAATGCGATCTCAAGCAGTTGATCAATCAAAGCCATGGTGGTAGTCCTTGTTTGTAATCCCTCCACTTGGAATCACGAGGGTTAGAAGTTCAAGGTGATCCTCAGCTGCATGGCTCCTGGAGGCCTGTGCCAGGAAACAAACAAAAGCAACCCCCCCAGCCCAAAGAGCTGGGGTTCCAGGAGCTGAGCTCCTCAGCTTGTCTTTTCCTCTCCTTCCCCCAACCCCCTCTCCTGTCTGCTCCCCTTCCTTTCCCCTTCAACCTACCTATTCTTCTCCCTCTCATTCCCTCCCTTGCGGAGATCTCCCTGCCTCTGCCTCTAGAGTGGTGGGAGTAAAGGTGTGTCCACTGGGTCCAGTCGGAAATGAGTTTTGAACTTTGTTGATTTTATACATGGGAAATGGAAAAAGAAAGTTCCACAATGCCAAAATGTCTCATTTTCAGAGGTAACATGACTTCCAAAGAAAAGAAGAAGAAGAAGAAGAAGAAGAAGAAGAAGAAGAAGAAGAAGAAGAAGAAGAAGAAGAAGAAGAAGAATTGAATTTTTACGGAGTTCATGAAGCCTGGGATCAAAAAAAAAAAAAAAGAAAAAGAAAAAAAAAAAAAAAGAAAAACTTGATCTGGCTATAATAAGTTAAAAGTATTAAACCTACTAACAGGAGGTCTGAGCCAAACTTGAGTTTTCCATGAGAAGGGGGTAAGGGAAGGATTTTTTTTAATTTTATTTTGCTGTCCAGTTATTTTCTTAAAAAACTTTAATGCTTGATAAAATAAAACAAAATTTTAGTACCATAGAAACCTTTTGAAATGTACTTATTATCACTATGTACAACTTCAAAAACAAAAGCTTCCAGCTCCAAGTGAAATCATGCTCAACATCCTAGATAGAGTCAAGCTGAGGAAGTTTTGTGAACGGCCAACGGGAGTCTTGGCTTGGAAGACTTAAACAGTTAGAAAATATAAATAAGACCTTCAGTGAGCTGAGAATCATGACAATGCTATCTGAAGTCCACACATCTGGATCTGGGAAGTTTGCATTGTTTATCAGAGACCAGCAAGCAAAATGAAACTCTATGAATGTCCAAACTTCAGCCTTCCAGGAGAGGGGGGTGCTGCAGGTTCACAGTTGGTCTATCAAACACATGACACAGCTCACTTGAGGATTCACAGGCCATTTTTCACCAGCTCATGGACTCTGTTCTCATCGATGATTAAAGGTGCATGGAACTCTTTATCTGCAACATAGCCTTCTAGCCCTTCTCCAGCATAGGAGATGAGAGGAGAGATTTCACACTGGATTGGTACATCATTGGCATCTTTCAAGTGGGGAATTGTTGGGAGGCAAGAGCCATTTTCATCTATGAAGTGTCCCCCAGCATTGAGGACCCAGCAATGATGAAGGGACAGTAAAGCATGCCTAGCAGTGGTCGGGTTGTCCTTCCCATTCTGTCTGCATTCTTGAGTGGGGAGAACTCGTCTTCCCGTAATACTTCATACACCACAAACTTCTTTGCAAACTGGAAGATGTCAAAGACAAAATTTTCCATCTTTATTCCATTTGGCTTGTCTGGCTTCATTAAGTGTCCCTGGGAATCCACATATGGGATCTTCTTCTGAGCCACATGGTGTTGTAACTGAGGTTCATAAACATTGACAACATCTTTCAGGAATGGTACAGTGAAGAAATGATTGGCAATGTTCCCTGTGTTGAACAGCAGCCGTCCATCTGAACTTAGTTTCTGAGCTGTCGACAGAGAAATCTCACTGTATTCTACCACCTGGTACACTCCATCCACTCGGCAAAACACTCCAACTGGCTCTGTGGGGTTTGTTTTCTCTACCACCTTTGCTCCACAATCTGCTCCTTTCTGAATGCAGAATCCAATGAACCGTGGGCCTGCCACTTTTACCAATATGTTGTCCACACAATAGACATGAATACTCCAGATGCCTCTTTGCTCCATGTCCTCCACAATGTTTTGGGCTGCAAGAGCCCGGTAGAGACCACCATTCCCATCTGGAGCCATAGAGACTTTGTTTTTCTCTTCCAAGATAATTTTCCCATCAAAACTCATAGCTGGCAGCATTCCCTGCTGAAAGAAGACCACATTCTCCTTTTGTAAAACAAAGTACTTGTGCTTCATGAAGAACTCCTTTGTAGACTCCATTGTCCTACCCCTGGTCATTATATACCATGGGATGACACACTTGTTGCCATAGTGCTTTTCAGCCAACTGCTTCAGAATACGTTCTGCTTGGATCTGGAAAAGTGTCTTGTGGGATGGCAAGCCAACATCATACATGCCCTTGGGATATGCAACTCCAAGTCTTGTCCCCTGCCCTCCAGCCAGAAGGAGAACTGCTACTTTGTTCTGAGAAATCTGGGAAAGTCCTTCTTTCTAAGGGGGAGGAATTTTAAAGGCGGAAACCACAAAAAGCCAGGAGCTGTAGTCAAGGTAACCTCAAACTAGTCCTTGAATGCTGCATAAGCAGGTTGCAAAAGCCGAAGAGCACTTAGTCATATAATATCAAGTAAATGGTCACTGCTGGACATTTTTCTGTGTTGGGATCATTAAGTCAGGGTTACTGGGAACTTTATCTTCTAGGGACTGGAGTCATAGACAAATGGCTAGTGTGTACAAAGATGGATGCCTAGCATAAAACTGAGTTTCCTTAGCCTTCACTGAACCAGTTTTATTCCTTAAACATAAGAGGACTCTGTACTATATGTATGTATGAATAAATTACTAATACATGTCCTAAATTTCAAAAATGCACATTCATTATATGTACAAAGAATTGCACTAATTATGTAGATGTATAGGTTATACATAACCTATAAAGAGATGTTCAACCCCTTTTAGATAGCATTTCTGTGTAAAGTCATATTAACCTTAAGGTTAACATATAAGTCATTGAAATCAGTGCAGTTTAAGAATACATGACAGTGACTTTTTTGAAATGCTAAACTGTATTAACACTCCATACCTACACAGGGAATTTATAAATATTCAGGCATTGGAGTGCAGAATCAATTAAACAGACTGGTAGAAATGAAGACAGCCTCAAGTTTCAATGCTTAGTTTTCCTACTATGATGTCTACATTCCTGGAGAAACCATTCATGCCCTTTAATTTTCTGAACCTCACTGATGTGGCCTGAAAACACCACCAACAAACTAGATTGTACATTCTAGTAGAGATTTACAAAGATGAGAAAGCTTTGAAAATTTGTCCAGAAAGCTAAGCAATGTAAAAGAAATACATCTGGATGCGTTTCAGCTCACCTGAGGAAAGAATGCATGCCATGCTCCCACTGCACACTGGGACTGATTGACACTACGACATGCATCTGCAACTATTTTCTGGGAGAAAAATTTGGTGTAAGAATGTATTCTGTTTAACTCGTTGACAGTAGAGAATAGTTGTCATACGCAGTGACTTAAAGACTTTCATTTGCTCAGGCAGTGTAATTACTTACTAACCGTGACTCTATAGGGAAGCACAACTGTACAGTGTGTACCAGCAAAAGGCAAAGAGAAAGACAGGAACATAAACAGGATGACGTCCTTAGCTTTGTTGCTTAGAGCCCCCTGTGGTGTAGTGATAGAAATGTTCTGCAGATGATGATGTTTTTAGAATGTCAGAGCAGCACAGAAGGCCCCTGAAGCTGTATCTCAAGGCAATAGGGCAGGATCACAATCAGGTTTGGCTCCTGTGGAGTTTTAGAACTTCACCTTCTCAAGTGAGTAAAGTGCTAGCCATCGAACTAAGACATGGATGCTTGCTCAGCTGTGTTGTCCCTCCCACAATTTACCTAGTGTGCTGTCAATGGCATTCTGAGGGCTAAGTGAACTGACCGCCATGAGCAAGGCGAAAAACAATATTCCCATCTAACTATCAAAACATTCAATGCATCTCCAACAAGCTTTCCATGGTTATCCTGTCATTCTTTCTGTTCTGTCATCTTTAAAGGTGTGTTGTGAAATCAATAGTGTAAAAAACTGATATGCAACCTATCTAGTATACGACCCACATGCTGAGAACCTTCGAGTTAGAGAGGAGCAGTGGGCGGAGTGCATAGCCAACACAAGGGTCCTGGTCTCTGTCTCTGTCTCTGTCTCTCTCTGAGTGTGTGTGTGTGTGTGTGTGTGTGTGTACTTGTGCTTGCTAGGTAAGCACTTTACCACAGAGCTAAATGCCCTGCCCTTACCGAATTCCTAATTCTCAGGCCATGACAAAAGGATATTTCTATGGTGTGTTGCTACCCACTGGAGGAGTTGGCAGGCCAGTAATAAGCTATTTTCTTTTCTCTTGCATCTTTAAGCAGACACACAAGTCAAGAAAAGGAACCTGGAGTCACCTTGCTCAAGACCCTCCTTACCTTGTAGATCAGCAGTTCTCAACCTGTGGGTCGCAACCCTTTGGGGGCAGTGGTATGACCCTTTCATAGGGGTCACACATCAGACACTTACATCATGATTCGTAACAGTAGCAAAATTGCAGCTATGAAGTACCAATGAAATAATTTTGTGTTTGGGGTCGGGTCACCACATCAGGAGGAACTGGGTTAATCAACATTAGGAAGGTTGAAAATCACTGCTGTAAACCCTGAACACATTGGTCTGGACTTTGTAGACTGTATAGCCTGAGGGAAAGGGAAAAGATGCAGCAAACAGGAAAAACAGTTGTTCACTCACAATTCAAAGCTTGGAAGCATTCAAATGTTAATGCAATGCAACCCTCATTAAGGGAGGTAGTGACAGGACTGGGAAACTTGTATGTCTGCCTTTTGCCTCTCATTGTTCACTGGAATTTGGAGACTAGTCTTTCTTTGACACTTCATCACAGAAATGACCAACAGTAACTCACTCGTAAGCTGTATCTGCACCTTCTTGAAGAAGGCATTGAAACATAACTGGAGTTGGGCATGGTGGCAAGCATCTTCAATTCCAGCACTCCGAGGAAAGGGCAGGCGTATCTCTGAGCTCAAGGCCACCCTGGCCTACAAAGTGAGTTCCAGGACAACCAGGGCTGCACAGAGAAACCCTGTCACTAAAAACCAATATATGTAATTGGAGAGGAGAGTCAAAGTCTCCAAAACTTTGCCACAGTGCTAGTGCTAGGGAGATTTGCTGGAGGATGGGGTATGGTGTTAGCTGTCCTAGGGCATTCTTCAGAGTCACTTTTTGCTGTACTGGGGCCTCACACAGTCTGGCAAGCACTGTTCCATGTGCTGTATCATCAGCCCCTCATGGAATTAGAATTAGAGTTAGCACAATAAGAAAGAAGGTTCTTTCATGGAATGTAAAAATCTCACTGGCATATAAACTTACATGATGTGTTCTTCAGTGACGATCCTGGCTATGCAGTGCACTATTACAATCACTTTCTCTTTTTCAATGTAGAATTGGTTTAAGAGTAGGAGAGCCAAATTCAGGAAATGCCTGAGGATGTAAATGCTCTGAGAGGCTCCTGTTGGTGTCCACTGTACCTTTCCCTTAAGACTGTGGAAGAACCCTAGAAAACCACCCCTGCCCAGGAGACAAAAGCACATGGGTCTCTACTGCTAGCAATGCATTGTTTTTCTCCCTTTTCTATCTCACCCATATCTCCTCAATGCTTTTATTTGCAATAAAGAGGTGAAATCGAAATATACTTGCTTCATGAGTCTTTTGGAATTAACATGCTATGCGGGTAAATTATCAATACAATGCCATTTAAAGAGAAAGACAAAGTCCTTTTCCCCGAGGTGACAATGCTAAGGCTATCAAAGAGTATCCCATTTGTGAGAGTGGCTTTACTCTCTTTTACCACCCCCCATAATGGGTCTGTTGGGTTTTTCAGAATCATTAGCGAAGACAATGTTTCTTTTCTCCCAGCATTCTATTTTAGTGTGTGTATGTGGGAATTTAATTTTAGATATCACACACACACACACACACACACACACACACAAGAATTATGAAAACTAAGCCAACATTCTTTGAAGATGCACTGAAGAAGAGAAAAACATCACCTACTGAATGTCTTCTAATTGTTTTGAATGTGAGGTAGCAACATAAAAGTTTCCTTGTTAACTAGTAAGGATGGGGACATTCACATAAAGTCATTCAGTAAAGTGTGTGTGTGTGTGTGTCCACATACATGTTCATGTAGGAAGAGTACATTGACTAGAAGGTGTGTGAGTGTGTGTGTTTGTGTATGTGTAAGTGTGTATGTTAGCCCACATACACATTCATGTAGGAAGAGTACATTGGCTAGAAGGCTAGAAGGTGTGTGTGTGTGTGTGTGTGTGTGTGTGTGTGTGTGTGTGTGTAAATATCAGAGGACAACCCTTGCCATCCACTTGGTCTTTTGAGGCATGATCTTTCACTGAATTGGAACTCACTAAGTAAGCTAGACTGGGTGGCCTGTAACATCCAACAATCACCCACCTCCCCAGCTTTTGGCTTTAAGCATGGCATCTGGAGATTGAACTCATGCTCCTGTGTGTCCCCATGCTTGAAAGACAAATGCTTTACCAACTGAACTGTCTCCTCCGCCCCAACAGATATGATGACAAGTCTTAGGGATCAGTTCTTATTGATCACTTCTTACAGGCAAATGACAAATGACAAAAGGGACATCATTCACCAGCGTCAGATTACACTATTCCTGAGCAGAAATGTGTCTGTGGTGTGGGCTAGATTTCCTTTGTCAAGGCTGTAAACTAGACAAGCTTGTTGGATATGCCAGGTCCCACCTGCTGCTATTGGAATTTAGGCTTCCTGGGTACCTGCTGGTCTCCCTGATTGACATGATAGGCACAGAAATTCCTCTGTTACCTAAAGGAACTACTAGGATCTGTCAGCAGGGAATCTTTATTTTTTTTTCCCTCCCCCCCTCTCTCTCTCTCTCTCTCTCTCTCTCTCTCTCTCTCGGGTTTCTTTGTGTAACAGTCCTGGCTGTTCTGTTCTGGCACTTGGCCTCAAGCTTGCAGAGATCTGTCTGCCTCTCCTCCCAAGAATATTCTTAAATATGTAAAGGGCAGTTAAAGAACAGCTCTAAACTAATGCTCACTTCTGCTTATTTAAAATCCCTTGGTATTTGTTTCTACCGGCTGTTTGCTAGTGCTGTGGTTTCTTGGGGGATCAGGTGGTGGTGAGTCTGTCCCTTGGCAGACCAAGATCTGGGCAGCTGCAGGTCCTAGAGCAAGTCATTTGAATTTTCATTTCATTTCATTTCTGCTACTCAAGGCAATCTCTTGATTGTAACCACCTGTAAATAAAATAAAAAAGAATCAAGTCACATACTTCCAACATACAATGGTACAAATACACCTTATCCATTCCAAAAGGGAGAAATGGGCCTCCCTTTTGGTAAAAAAAAAAATACTGGACTAAAGCAATGCTGAAACA